CAATGCTGCAAGCTTTGGGTATCGCTTGAAGGGCTTGTTAGTAGAGGCCCGCGGCTGCACAGAAGTAGGCACATGGCACAAGCTACGGAGTTCGATGCTTACTATAGGGGCCTTCGTAATTGCCCATACTATTTTTTGGGGGGTCCTTGTTACAGTTATCGTAGTAACGGACCCCAAAACCCTATTCTGGTCATTAAGGCCCTTACATTGCCTGCTTTCCGTGCCCCTTCTCCAACATTGGCTCAGGCAGACTTACACACCATTCATCTGTGGTGAAGAGTCCTTTGGTACCGGTGCTGACCATGTGCGAGAGAAGGCGGGGTGAGTGCCGCAAAGCAGAGCAGAGAGGTATCACAAGCCCGACGAAAGCATGCCGGCTGCTTCAGACCTTTAGGGTTTAGGGTTTAGGGTTTAGCCCTTAGCCTCAACGACTGTAAGTCTTTTGTGGTCGTCTCTCAGCAACAAAACTCGAGCGCAGATCCAAAACCTCATAAGCCCATATGAGCCCTCTTTTCCGAGAATGGGGGACCCAATATAGTACCCTAAATAGTAGGGCCCTGATTCTAAGGACCCCGCAATAAGGTACCCCTATTTTCGGAAACTCCCATATGGCCTTGACCATGCGAATGCGGGATAGTGACACATTCCAGGATGGAATGTGGGCCGTCCTTGCCTGGCTGCAGATCCTTGCAAAGAAGACCGAGCAGGCGTGCGACCAAGATTTGGTCAATAACTTGGGCAGGATTAGCCATTTGGACGTGTTATGTTTGTTTTCGTATGGTGCAGGTTGGGTGTTGAGGTAGGGCGTAGGGGTCAGGGTCAGTTTGGATTGCTGTCCGCATCGTGGCTGGGGGTTGCTTGGGTTGAATGTGCAGGGTTTCCACATGGTTTGGGTTTTGGAGGGAGATCTGTTGCATTCGAGCCGCCTAAGCAGCCTCGGCCTTCAAATGGATTATGCACGAGTGGAATGCTGCACCCAACCCCAGTATGCTTGCAGGCCGGCAAGCTCGTGTCCGTCGAGGACGTAGCCAACGAGCATTGGAAGTGTCTCGGCCAATAACACCCTAGAGGCTGCCCTAACCCTAAACCCCTAAACCCCTAAGCCCTAAACCCCTAAACCCTAAACTCCTAAACCCTAAACCCCTATGGGAGGGATCCTTCAGGGCTCCCTGCATAGTTTTGATTGTGGGGCTCCGCTCATCTTCACAGGCAAAAGGCTCCTTCATGCCACTGAGGACTGGTGTAACCGACGAGTGGTAGCCGTCGCCTTTACAGTCATGGGATCCATTAGTATTCCTAAGGAACTCGATGGTGCCCTCAACTCCCTAGGCTTTGTTACACCGGATAGCCTGGAGGTTGATTTCTACTCTAGAGTACTAATGGGCCCTGGACAACTTAAACAAACTACTCTATGTGACTTCCCAAGAACCACATCACGTAAAGTATGGGGAGTGGGAAAACTCAAGCAGGGTCTTCCGGTAACCTTGGTACTTAGCGACAGTGAAGAAGACCTAGCGAACAACATAAGAACTGCTGAACCACCCCCTACAACACACTCAGATGGTTTAAACACTGTTACCACTCTGAACCCTGACAAGCGCCCCCGGCCCACCCAAGTAGACTCCTACACCTCCGACTCCCAAGCCACATTACCCTGGCCCATGGATGCCGTCGCGGGGGCATAACCCATACTTAACAGGTGGCAGGAGTGTGTGCAAGATACGCTCCAAGGATGGCCTGGTCTGTGTAGGGTCTTTCTTTGAGGTCTCTGGGGCTCTGTTTTCTATTGCAACTCTCATACTTTGCTGTATTCTTTATATTACAAGTCCACTGTGCCCCCATCCCCATTAACCCTCACTTTAGCATGTTTTATCCCTTTCCTTTTAGGTATCGGTGGCTAGCTTTGCGTTATCTTCATATTGAACACACTTCACATGGGCTCTTTATGTATTGTACTGGTATTCCTTAAGAAACCACTAACCCGCGCCCGTGCTGAAAACATGGAACTCTGCAAAGCGGGCCTGGCGTGCTAGAAGGCACACACTGCATGTCTGTTGCCTATGATGGAATGCATGGAATTTACAACTGCATCTGCATGGCCTCCGCTGCCACATGACGAAGAGCCTGAATATATGAATCTGCATGCTATCCATACAATGTGGGTGGAACAATGACTGACCATGAGCTCTACCTGTGGGTTCCCGCTACGAGCGCAGCCCTGCTGGCTTTTTCTGGAATTTATTGCATGTGGCGGGGATCTGAGCGAGTAAGCTGGCACAGTCGGATACGGCTAGTGGTGATTCCCCACGGATGGCTGCATGAAAATAGCCTCCCATATACCGCAGGCCACTGCCTTTTCTGGAATTTACTGCATGATGGCAAACAGCCTGGCCAGAGATACAGTATATGGGGAAGTTACGCCCAACCAGAGGGCTACCGATGAGACAGGCCCGCTGGTCTACACTGCATGACTGCAAGAGATTGAATGTAGGGCTCTTGAATTTATGGTATGAGTTTGCCAACCCTGCATGCTCCTCTGCTATTAGCGCCGAGTCTGGCTGCTCTAGCAGACGTGAGACCGAGCTGAAAACGCAATGTACTCTGCCGTGAGGTGATTAGATGTGATTGAGTGCGATGTCCGCGTCACATTCAACCATGTCTAAACATCCCCAGTGAGCATAATTCATCAACTGAGGGGTGCATGCTAGAATTCATTGGACCAAGCCCCGGGGCATGATACTGAAGTCATCTTTTCTTATGACTAGAGGGTATGAAAGTGAAATCCCTTTCTTCAAGTAAAGTTTGGGGCGGCTTGGCAAGCAGCGAAATAACCTGTAGGTCACTCCACGTACTCCACAGTTTCACTCTTTTATGGTGTCTGAATTAAGTGCTTGTAGCGTCGGTAATAAGCTGACTGCGGGGATCATGCAACACTTGATCCTCACAACAGATCACAGTGCCCGAGTCAACTCGGCTCTTCCCTCTCATATGTAGCTACTGAATATTGTAGGGCTAGCTCCCTATACCCCAACCCTGAGTGATCTGCCTGGTCCACTGCCTTGGAATCCAGTTTTTCGAATGCTTTCAACAGAGAGATTCCAAGGAGAGGTTTCGCAGACCGGTACAGTTACTTTAAGTGTTGTTATCCTTTGTTGCTGAGATGTCGTGATGAGGCCTCTTAGTGTCGTTTCACTCTGCAGACTCGAACTCATATGCCTCGCCTGGTTTGTCCGAGTGTGAGCGCCGAAACCCCTAAACCCATAAACCCCTAAACCCCTAAACCCATAAACCCATAAACCCCTAAACCCATAAACCCCTAAACCCATAAACCCCTAAACCCTAAGCCCTAAACTGAAACCCGGGCCCTTCAGCATCACTCGCAGCTTTGTTAACGAACCCTCCATAGAGCCGGAGGCGAAGAGAAGCTCCCCGAATCTTCGTCCCTGACATCCTTCACCTAATAACGAGGCCTTAATATTTACCTATACTATTGTAGGGGTTCCTTATTCCTCATTATATTTATAGTATAATGGGCACCAAAACCCTATTCTAATTATTAAGGCCCCTATATTAGACCCTGAACCGCGATCCCTGGCCTACGGCTTCATCCTCCCAGCCCTGCATGGGCCAAGGACGTATGGTCGAAACTACTACGCTCGCTATGACTACGAAGGCTCAGCGCACGCCTTAAAGAAGGGGCGGATTCATTCAACAGCGAGAGAGACATTCTCATGGTCCATGTGCAAACAAGACCTGTACCCCGGCAATCTATATTAGTACGAAGTGTTCATTGTTCCGACAGGCGTTGACAAGGCCAAAGCCGAGCAGATGATGAAGATGATGTCCGACAAGTCAGGCATCAACCCGTCCTGTCGGGCATGCTGCGGCTCCATGTTATCTGACACTTACGAGAGCTTTCATGCCTGGTGAGCCAGAAGAAAGAACTGACTTTCAGGAGAGTGTATCAGCTACGGAGGTATTTCGTGGGTGCCTGGAAGTGTATTCGGCATTACAGACGCTCAACAGTACTTCTAACAGCATGCACTCCTCATGGTATATCCAATCTGTGAAGCCTCCACTGTGGCGCTTGACTGACACCAGGGAAACTTGTCGGGCAGACCTTTGGCAACATGAAGATGAAGATCAACGATGCCCCCCGACCCGGTGTTGGGTTTAGGTTGTCGGGCCTGTCCTGCTTTGTTACTACATCGTTGATAATTCTTTGGCGTGCGGCGATGATTCTGTCTACGGTGATGGTGGCGATGACGATGTTGATGGTGATGATGTTCTCGGTGAGTGCGTTGGTGATGGTGTTTCGTTGTTTAGTGCGTGTTTGTGCTGACGCAAACAAAGGTTTCCATTCCCTTCATTGTTATCATGTTCATCGGCTCGTCGTGTCATTTCTGCTCAGTGTTAGCCAGGCTCTTGTTGTGGTTGTTTGTGCCTGCATGGCCATTATCACTGTCAGTGCGTTATAAGTTATCATTTACCCTGAAGCCCACGATTTTTGGGAGTCCCTTGAGTTTTCAGATTCAACCTTCTCTTCCGTGCCGATCTTGTTGTTCATTTTCCGAGGCCCTCTGGAGCTTCGTTGGGCTAGCTTTACTCGAACGAGAACAAGAATGGGAAACGCTACTAGCCTTTACTGTTCAGATGCCTAAAACCATACACTCAGCCTAGACTCAAAATCAATCCCGATTATAGTCATATACATGAATATGTGTACATATATATACACACATATAGACTATATAGATATGTACATGTATGCATATGTATAGTTAGATCACAGGTCTTCGAGTACAATGACCCCGTGGACGGCAGCGTGTCCAAGAACCAAGGCACCAGTTTTCTAAATTCTTATACTTGTAGGATTTAGGGTTTAGGGTCGGTTAGGGTTCAGGGTTTAGGATCTAGGGTTTAGGGTTGTCGGGCTTTAAATGGGCAGAGGGTTGAGACGGTACTTAATTGGTTTGGGTTGGGAGTCTGGAGACTCTAGCATGCCTTCCACAGCCTACAGCCAGACGATCCTAGGCACCGGGCCGGTTTAGGGGTTTGGGTTCCTCCTGTGGGTTTGTCGTTAAATAGGGATCATGTCATGGTGCTCCATGACAAGTGCTGGGCAGGCAACCATGTCCTGTCGGTTTGCTAATCAATCATGTCCTGTTGAGGTTGCGTCACTCTTAGATATTAGACAGGAGCCAATATCAGCGCAGATAGAGGTTTCAGGGTTTCTATCTTTGGATTGAGATTTTGAACGCCAGGACTGTCTGTTGATGGCCTGGTACACCATGCCTACAAAGCCACAGCAACGTCCGGATCAACCCCAATTCTTACAACCACTGTACAACTCGACCAATCTGCAGCCCTTCCGCTAAGAGGGACTGGGCCCAAGATCATCTATCAGGGCCATAAAACCTTACTATTAGTCTTGTGTCACATGAACATGTACATGAGCCTGTAACACTGTATTGCATACATACATCTTCTGGAAAGTATACAAGTCAATGAGCGCATAAATCTGTGCCTCTGTGTGCGTACAGGTTTCATCGCTAATTTATGAATACAAAATATGGGGGCCTAAATAAATACCAATACTATTGGGGGGTTCCTTTTTACAATTCTTGTATAAGGAGCCCCAAATCCCTATTCTCATTATTAAGGCCCCTATAATTACTACCAAACCCCCAGAGACGGTGGTCAAATCGGCTCTCTGGCAGGCGTCCGGTTCATCTTCGAGGACGGCTCTCGGATCATCTTCCGACTTTCGGGCACCGGCGTGGCGGGCGCCACTGTTCGCCTCTACCTAGAGAAGTACACCCCTCCAACAGGCCGGGTCCAGGGTTGGAACTTGCTGTACTGCTCGAAAAAGTTTCTCCGAATGACAATGATTCTGACTATAGTGGAAACGACAGTACATGGAACACCGAAAGAGAAAACACAACAAGGTCAAAGTCTGCCAAAGACCTCGGCCTACTAATAGGCCTTATACAAAGCAGATCACACCCCAGACCTTACGCCGTCCATCTTCGTTTATCTGCAGCAGGCAACCTCGGAATGCATCAGTTCGACGTGGTGAAGCCACTCGCGGATGTGGCCCTGCAACTTTCGAGCCTGAAATCCTACACTGGGCGGGACAAGCCCACCGTGATCACCTAAGGGCCGCATGACCTTTGGATAGGGTGTACATGTTCTGCAAGTTCAGGCAGACTAACCAGCAAGCCTGGAGGAATGCACCCCACAGCATACGCGGTTGCTACACTTTCATTCGGGGTGGGGTTGGCAGGGGTATTAGGTCCCAGCAACAACACTTGACAAGTAGTCCTGCCCCACCCTGCACATGGAGCTGTTTATGGGTTCTCCGGCCCTGAGGTGAGATTGTTTTGCATCGATTCCTAGGCTTTTGCGCGCGGCGCAGCCGATTTAAGTTTTGCAAGCTTTGTAGAGGACCCTTAATCTTGTGGCTGATTTTCCCCAATTCAGTAGACGCATAGGATGGAGAGTGCAGAGCCTTCGGCAAGAAGCAGAAATTGGGTCCGAAGAGGTGACGAGCGATCCAAGACCGAAGCAGTTCCCAAAGTCCAAACTCCAGTCCTGCTGCTTCCCGTCGCTTTTGAAAGCCGGACAGGTTGACATCATGCAGCAGTGTGTCAACCTGCAGTTGGACGCAGGATCATGGCTGTTTAGTTTCGCGTGAGCCCTTGCATTTTCAAGTTGACATTGATGGCAAATCAGCAGTACGAAATGTCGCCGAACTTCTTCGTCTTTGAGTTTCGGAAACTCTAAGCCTGAAAGATTGCGAATCCCGAACGAAACTTGGAGGCCCAGGGGACTTAGGAAGTAGGTTATTAAGTAGGGTTATAATTGGGGTAGCTCCATTTAGGGTGATTATAATGGTACTTATAACTCTACTTATAACCTACTTACTAAGCCCCCGGCCTCTAAGTAAGAGGTTCTCAACATCGACTCCTTTCAGTTATGCTGGACGTTGTTCCAGCACGCACATGTGTAACCACAACCACTACCTAGAAAATCAAAACTCTGCCCCCTGGGGCTCCAGTTAGCTAAAGAGTAGGTTGCTAGGTAACAGTATACGGTGTGCCCCAGTAACCTACTCTTTTATTTAGGCGCCTGGATAATTAGCTTAGGGTTTGGGGCCTATGATACTACGATTCTACTGGTGAACCCCCCCCAAAAAAAACAAAAGAGCTGTTGTAAAGATTTCTAAACCCTAAAGCCTAAACCCTAAACCCTACAGTAGCCCAGTGTCCTTCAAAAAAGACCTGCAGTATCGGGTAACTGGAGCTCTCGGGTGCGTTGCCGTTCGCAGGACATCATGCTCACGAGGCAGGGGGCTGCTGGAAGATCGCGGAACCCGACCATACGGGAGTTTCCGAAAATTTGGGGGTACCTTTAAAGGGATCCTTTTAAAGGGTTACTATAAGGGTTCCTTTACAGGGCTCTCTATTGGGAGTACCTTATTTTGGGATCCTTATAATCAGGATCCTACTATATTTAGGGTGCTATATTTGGGCCCCCTGTAGGCTCATACCCTACACCCTTTTTTACGGTACCTACTTTTCTATATAGGAGATCATACTCACAAAACTAGGTACCCTTAAGGGGTAGGGTATGACCCTCCAGGTACCATACGGTGCATCTGCTTTAATCCCAAACCTGCGGGCTCTCAACACTTAAGGGACTCTCAACCCCAAGCGCACGCATCAAGACCGAGTTGTTCGAGCTCCTGAGGGTTGTAAAGTCTACAGCCTGCGAATTCGTGCTACAAGCGTTAGCACCTTACGAATTATGAGGCTGCTAAAAGGGCCTTACTACAGGTTCTGTACGGGCTCAGGGTATGTTTGTATGCCTTTACTTCTGCATAGACGCATATTGCCGCTCTGTGTGAGTGGGGTGTTGGCATCTCTGGCTGTGCGTGCCCCGAAGCAGTGGAAATCACAAGTCATGGACCCCGGGCCGAAAGCCCTATAGTAGAATACCAAAAGTTGGAAACCCAGTAGCCTCAACCCATAAGAGTCATGTATAGGGAATCCCAGCACTATTTGGTTATTTGGCCTTAATTCGGTTTCCAACTTTATGGGGCTTACTGTAAACTGCAGTAGCTGTGCTTGCGTTTGCATGTTTAGGGATGTAGACTCCAGGGCTTAAGCTTGGGACTTGACGGGTTTAGGGATCTAGGGATTGCACCTTAGGAGTTGGAGTTCAAAGTATCTGTCCGCGTGATTTCATAGTGTAATGTGTGTGTATATATATATATGTATGTATATAACATGGAAAAGGTAAAGGGGCAAATTCTTGATGCTCGGCTTCGGCGCAGTCGGAAGATTTTGGCGTCTCCCACCTTGACACATGCCTGGTCAGGTGGGCGACACGGATGCATACCGAGAAGTCATCAGAGACCCTTGCTAGCAGACGTGGCGGGTCGAGGTCGAAGATCGATGGACCTGATCGTCAATTAAAGTATACGGCTTGGGGGTATATGATAATAGATTTGCCTGAGGCACGAAAGGGCATTCGGATTTTGTAACTACAATTATGAATTAGTAATTTACAGTTATAAACTGCGAAGGGACTTCTTGCCTGCGGCTCGGACTTCAGCGAGGTGGCAGGCAATTCAAGTTCGATGGCCCTTAGGTTTAGGCTCAAGGCTCCAAGTACCTAATAACATTATACTCTCCAAATTTCGTAACTTACATAACTACTTTTCCTAAAACCGAGTACCAAATTATTGCGCCCTTTGGACGCTTGGGGTAAGCTCCAGGAGAAACCATAGATCCTGACCCTCACACTCTAACTCGTACCTGCCATGGGAGTAAGAGTCGAAACCTTACATCCGAGCTTACTACGCTTGAGCCTCAGTTCCCGAATCCCTGCCCTAAACTACCATTACTTTTTGTAGGTTATCCTGATGACTCCTCGACCTGACCTACTTAATCGTTAAGGTTCTGGACCTCACGCCTTAGCCTCGAACACCTGGAACCGGTGTCTTGAGCCTCTAAGTCACCAAAACTCACCAATGTCGAACGAAGGCCCTGGTGGAACCCTCCTCAAACCTCGCGAAATAGCGTACCGAATCAGGTGAAACTCACCAGATGTCACTTGAAACCTCGTTCTCTGCTGGAGCCGTAAACCCTAAAAACCCTCAACCTCCAAATTTCTAAACTCTAAGATCTCCTTGCCAAGTAAGAGGCACAAAACACCAAAACCTCGAAGCCCTCCTGGACCTCAGGACTTTGCCGAAGAGCTTCGGCACCTTTGAAGATATCTCCTGGTGCTTTTGGGGGTTTATGGTAGAATAGCACAAAAGTTGGAAACCCAGTAGCCTCAATCCTTAAGAGTCATGAAAAGGGAATCCCAGCACTATTTGGCCTTAATCTTGTTTCCAACTTTATGGGGTTTACTGTAGGTTTCGGGTTCATCAACCCGGTGGGATTCCTAAGATGTAGGATGCACGGAGAGTTGGCTGCTTGTGTAAGAGTCAAGTTTGCAGGATTGCTGCTTGCGGTTGCTGTGCACCTAACGGTAGAATACCGAGCCCAAACCAAAGTAGCTTTGCGACTGAACTCCTGAGCTAATAAAGGGGCCTTAATAATTACCTATACTATTGTAGGCGTCCCTTATCATCATTATAGTATCATGGGCCCCGAAACCCTATCTAAATTACAAGGGTCCCTATATTAAACGACTGGTTTTCAGTGTGTGGCTCGGTAGTGTAAAACCTCAGTGGACTGACTGTCCTCAACCGAGGCAGGACATGCCCGTGTGGGCCAAGCTGGAAGGTGGCGAATGGCAGCATGGGCGAATCCATCGTGTGAACAAGGAGGAGCTCTCTCATATGCCACTGTCTCATCAAATCGCTGGCATTGTGCAGTTGAAGCCTGGGTGGGACATAACTCGGAAACCCGTCCCTGCGTCGCTTTATCGTTTGTTTTCTGTCTAGGGTTCTGAGTTTACCCGCCCCTCGACATCCTCCGGCACGAAGACCGGGAAAACCCATGTGCTTGCACCAGGATGAGCACCATGTGACATACGATTTCCAGTATTCCAAGAAGGTGAACGAGGCGGCCCAGTCCTGCAAACTATCTTACCCGGACCTTCGGTTTTTACCCTTTAGTATAACATACAGTATAGTACTAGGGGCCATATCCCTCTGTTTAAGGGTAGAGGGAGGAGGCTTCTTACATCCGCTCTATAGTGACAGCCTTGCCTTCTAGGTTAACCTTGTTAGCAAGAGGGCGTTCTGCGTCAAAGTTCCAAGTCGTAGAGCCCCGAACAGATAGGATGCAGCTTCAGCAGTGAAGATGGTGATTCAACAATTCTATATCCACAAACTTTCGATGCCTTTGCCAGAGAAATCTTTACTGAGCAAGCCAGGAGTTCGGCAGTTAGGGTCCTGTTTATTGAACGGGCCTCTGTGGAACCGTCTTCTTACTTGCGGGGGAGGGGGGGGGGGGTTGTGAGAGTGCTAGGGGATCACTAGGTCATTAGGACACCACACCGACATGCACCCAAAACCTGAAGCACAGGGAACCCTCAACCCGAAGCCAGATTATGATCACCTAAACCCTAAACCCCGGTTCACTCTTCCTGGATGCATCACAGTGTGAGCGTCAAACTACTGAACTGCGACTGTGCTGATAACTTTAGGAGCTTAAATAAATACCTATGATATAGTATTCTCTGGGGGTTCCTGATTGTAAAAATACTAAAGGAGCTCAAAGCCCTATATTCTTAATTTTAAGCTTCTACGGTAGCGCTCCCCTCCGTGCCAGCATGGAAAGAACGTGGACAAAGTCTTCATCCTGAAGGACGCAAACCCCGAGGGTCACGTACCTAGGGTTTTTATAAGGGTTTAGCGTTTAGGGTGTAACATGTACTTATAGCGTTACTTAGGCCTTAAAGGGGCATAAATAAATGACTAAATAAATAAACAAATATATAAATAAATATATGTATATATATATATCAATATCATGCATGTATGCAATTATTTGCACCTATATAGTTTCTACTTAATTAGGAATTGAAGGGGTTGCCTCCACAGGTACTTGAAGGCTCAAGTACCTACTGTCTAGGTACATAGAGCTGAGGACTTCTCGGAGGGAAGAGGCCAAGGTGGCGATCAACCTGTCTCTCAATCTGCCAGTGTGTCTTCTGAGAGCTAGTTCTGTGATTGAACCCTGCTTTGTTTGTAGGTTCTTATTGTGAACCCTCATATGGAGTTTATAGGGAGGTGGCGATCTGCATTTTTGTTTGTTGTCGGCGATCTGATTAAGAATTTTCCACCCGGATTGTCCTCACTATACTATCATATACCAACACTCCGTTCCAGATGGGAATGCCGCTGTACTACCGTAAGTTGTGCTACTTGTTTTCTGCATCGCGAGATTTGGATTCCTTGACCAAACTCTGCTAAGTCTGCTAAGTTTTGCCTATGAAAGCTTCAACAAACTTGAAATCGAAGCAAAAAAACGTCCGCACGGAGCCTGCGACAGAAACCCAAAGTGCAAAACCCTAAACTCTAAACCCTGAACCCTAAACCTAAACCGTAAACTGCGTAACCACTGACTGACCGCCTGACCAGGGCCTGACCTTTCACCTGACCTTGTGCCCTAAGCCTTAAATTATTCTTATTCTTATTCTTATACTTATTCTTTTTATTATTATTCTTATTCTTATTATTAATATTTGTATGTATTCCCAGGACACGCCGCAAATCCCTATTCTTATAAACCTTCGAAGCACTCAAAACCTAGGCGCTGAACCAACAACACTCCAACCCCATAACCCAAAACCCTGAACCATCACTCAAAACCCTAGGCCTCAACCCCAAACCCTTGTGCTTTAGTCAAAGTGCTTCGCCGCACAAGGCTTGTCCAATTTGCGAATGCTCCCTAAATGGGTACCTTATTCTGGTTCCTCATAATAAGGATCCTACTATTTGGGGTACTATATTAGGGTCCCTATTTTCGGAAACTCCCAAATCCTAAACCCTAAACCATTATAGGAGCCCTTAAAGGAACCCTTATAAACCCCTTTAAAGGAACCCTTATATTCTACATTAGGGTCCCCTATATTCGGAAACTCCCAAATCCTAAACCCTGACACCCCAAGCCTAAACTTCAGGACAAGCCCCGAAGCATGTTCAAGACCCGCCAGCCGGGACCCCGCAAACTTAAGATTAGGGAAATTAGGGATATTAGGGATATTAGGGTTATTAGGGATATTAGGGATATTAGGGTTATTACGGATATTAGGGTTTAGGGTTTGGGGTTGAGGATTTGTAGGATTAGGGGATACTTGAAGGCTTCTTTTGGTATTCATCGGGCGATGAGGTTGCCCGGTTACCCACTGTTTTAAGAGTTGTACCTTACAGGTCATGGCCTACCCTTTCGTCGGGTTTGCGGTTGCCCCATTTCGGATTTAGGGCTGGGGTTTGGGGGTTTAGGGTTTAAGTTCCGTAGCAAAAAGAGCTTGTGTTTTCCTGTTTTGGCTTAGGTCCCTAAACCCTAAACCCCCCAAACCCTACAAACCCTTTCTTGGAATCCTCCCCAAGGATTGTCCGAGTGTGAGTGCTGAGGCCCTGTCTTGGCTTAGGTTTGGTTAAGAAGTCTACCCTAAGGGTCCAAAGGACCCAATAATTCGGTACTTGGGTTTAGGATAGTAGTTATGTAGCTTAATATTTAGGATAGTATATAGTTATATAGGTAGCTTAATTTGTAGGAGAGTATATGATTATTCGGTACTTGGACCCTTAGGTTTAGGGAAGGGCTTGGAGCTTCGACCTTGGACCTAGAGTCCGGAGGCAAAGTGGGCTTCGGTGGCTGGGTTTGTAGAAGTTTCTGCAACCCAAAAGCTCGAAGGTTCATGTGCAAATTCATGGGTGTATATGTATGTGTATATAATATATATATATATATATATATATATATAAATATTATATATATATATATATATATATATGAATTATGGCTTTGCGTAGTTCCGAGCCGAACCAATGCACCATCGAGCAACATGTTCTTTGTCTCAAGACATGTTTTTTGTCTTACGAGCGGCTCTTTGAAGCATGATACCATCATGAGCCCCGAAACTCGCACCTATACCCAAAACCCCAAAACCCGCGACGGAGTTCGTCATTCTGGCAGGTACCAAGCAGGCCCTCAGCAGAAATCAACAACTCTAATTAGCCCTTAACCCTAAATCCTGAACCCTGAGCCCTAAACCCTTACATCCTAAACCCTTAAATAAACCCTTAAACCCTAAATCCTTAAACCCCAGACCCTTGAACCTTCATTCTGACTGATGAGGCTCCTAGTCAAGGGCGACCCGGCTGGCGGAAAGACGACCTTCGCCGGGCACCCGGGGAGGGGCTGCCAAGGGCGTTTACCGAACAAATCTCGCTGATTTTTAGTTGACTGATACGGTAGTGTATTTGTTTTTGGGGTTGTATTGGTGTCCTTCTTCTTCCCGTGATCGCTGGTTATTAGTGTTAATTATAGTTATTCGCCAGAACTCGCATGTTTTCGGGGGCCTGCAGGTCGTGCTTGTTCTGTTCGTCCACGGCATGGTTTCGAAGATGGCAGCGAGCATTAGTCGAAGTGTAGCAGCTGTCCATTTGTTGGCCAAATTGATGAGATTGCGCGGTTCAAGAATGTCACCCGAACAGCAAAGCAGACAAGGCCATGCGAATGGTAGCCGTAACAACAACTGCAGACCATTGTAAGTCTGGACATCCTGAATGCTTGCCATGAGGCCGTATGCATTCCGGGATAAGGGGAACTCCAGAAAGTTGGAATATGGTTTCATGGTAGGATACACTATAATTTTCCATAGAAGAGTTAGGATAATCATATTCCAACTTTCTGGCTTTTACCTTGGGGGCATTGGCTTCGAAGCTTGGGTTCAATCGGATCCTCGCCAAGGGAGGTTGCAGGTCGAAGCATAACCGTTTGGGCTTGCTGTCGTCGCGGCACATTGACTATTTATATCTACAGGTTAAACCTACCACTGCCATGATGCTTATGGGTAGCACTCTGGGTTGCCGAAGTTGTGATGGTGGCGATCGTAGCGGGCTGTGTTTTGCAGTGCTAATCACTGCCAATCTCATGCAGTGTCTTGTGGTTCGCTATCACTGGCCGAGGAATATGAGCGGCACATGCAGTGGCATCTGCGCTGTAAGAGCCCAGAGGAATTCTAGGCTTCAGAAAACGTTGAAAATGTTGTGGACCTCATGGCTTCTAAACTGTTAAGCTCCTGCCCTGTGGTTCCTTGGTCAGAACTTTTCGCTGTCGTGACAGAGTTACCACGCAGACCCAAGGGGTAACTGACATTAATGCCGCGCAACGGGCCCATTATGATTATACCAAGCATTATGACCCCTAAACGAAGGCTCTAAACCCTAAAGGCTAGACCCCAAGCCATGAAGCCAAAAGGCTCCAAGTAAGACTTGACAGCGCTCAGCCAAGGCCAAGCAGCTGCTGACGTGGATAATGCTCCTTGCCCTTGCTTTCCTGCTGCGGCAGACGGTGTACTTCATCTTGGGATACTTGAAGGTTTAGGTCGTAGAGGGTCTGAAGGATTTGTGATCACATACCCTTACAGTGTCTGACTTTTCTGTATATGTATATATGTATAACTCGCACACGAGTATTCTACATTATCTCTGTCATGATGGATCATGTTTTCCCGTCGGAACGGCAGTTGACTCGAGGTTCCCGTGGCTTTATGGCCTGCCCTTGAGAACATCCGAATTGAAAGTTTTGATGTATTGCGCGACGCACCGGTTGGTGAATCATGCACATTGAGCAACACCTTCTAAGATTTGTTTGAGGCTTGAGCATCTGGTTCAGGTTTGAGCACACTAGACCACTTCGAAAGTGAAAGGCGGATGTTCTCAAGGCCCAAAGCCTGTGGAGTTCAGAGTATAGGGCTGAGGGTTTCAGGAGTTTGGCTTTACGGCGCAGGGTTCACGGATTAGTATTCGGGCAGTTTTTGAAGCGAAATAGCAAGAGCCCTGAGTTTGACGTCAGGAGGGAGGCAGGAGCCAGCTGGCTGGTCCCGGTGATGGTTCGAACGATCGCAGCCCGGCAGCAGCCATGATGATTGCATGGCCTCACATTGTAACATGCAAGATGCTTGAGGGAAGCCAATTGTAGGTTTGGTTCTTTATCATTACATGGGCCAGCAGCAAACCCATACTTTCGGCTACCCTCCAGTACCCTCCCCACAGGCTGCCACGCGACAACCAGGAGCCTTCGAGTTCAGGGTTCAGGGATCCGATGCAGGCTGGGCACATGGGCTTTATGTGATTATTATATCAACTCTCTTCGAACATATAGGGGCCCGACCAAATTGAGCAGGTTTTTGTTGGTTCCAGGTAGGGCTTCGGGTGTAGATTCGAGGCGAGTCTACATACGGGCTTTACTGTTCCTGACAGCGCAACGGATTGTGCTCGCTGCATCATTGGCTCATGCCCCGTGCTCGTCGCAACAGCAGGCCTTGCCCCTACCGGCAGAAAGTTTTTGTGACACGAACATCCGTCAGCGCCGAACCTTCTGACTCGTTGTTGCCCAGTCGTATATAGTTTAGCAACAAGTGCATCTTGTCTCGGGACTCTGCTGCCACCATGTATTTGCTGCAGCATCTTCTGGTCGCCCTCCTGACCTCTGATTCGGCAAGAGCTGCGGTTTCGGTGCCCTCTGAGTACAACTCCAGCTACGCGAGCATGACTGTGACAACGGAGCGCTACGCCTGCAGTGGCGAGCTTACGGGCACCAGAGATTCAACACAAGTCGGCAGCATCGGGTGGGAGTTGGAGAAACTATGGGACATTCTGGGACCAGTACAGACTCCTAAATTAGCTGGCATCTAGAAAGTAGAGCCCCAATTTGGGGCCCTATACTACTAAGGGTGCTTTGTAGGAACCCCATTAAGGGATCTACTTTTTGGATCCTCCCAAACTAGAGAAGTAGGGACCCCCCCGACCCCACCCCCATGTTCTGAGAGCTCAGCAGGTTGGGCTCACACATGTGCTCGGAACGCTCGTCTTTCTTCGAGTGCTCCAAAAATGGCTGCTTGGCGGGCTGGGATGCTTACATAACATCCTGTATACAATATGGCGGTCTTATAGAGGCATCTGCATCTGCTCATAAATAGATTTATAGATGCTTCAATCAAGCCAGGATCGAACATCGGCCACTTTGAGTGCTCCTCGAATGCGTTGATTGAGGAGTTTCCCGTGGGCTCCTGCCTAAGATGTGACGACTATACCTTCTCCTGCGATCGGATTTGGTGGAAAGGAACCTTCTACGACGCAAGGTACTTTAAACCCGTGTGCAGCATGCCTTATTTCGATTCTGGCTGCTACTCGAGCCTTAAACTCTGGTCCTGCCTCGTGCTCGTGTTTGCCTCCGTGCTGCTGAGCTCTGGGTGATCAAGACGATCTGCCTGGAGCGGTTTAAGGCGAATGAGGTGTTTAGGGTTCACTTCCAAAGGAAGGGGACGGGTCGGCAGTGATTTTGGCCACGAGTCCGTTTTGCTCCCCCGCGTTTCCCATGATTCCAAGGCCGCTTATGCACGACGCATCTCTGCGGTGTTTTGCAAAAACAACCTAGCGCTGCAGTTGCATAAACAATAGGTTAGTAAGCATATATTATGTACGGCAGTGACCTCCTATTTGGTAACTGGGGCCCTGGGGACAGATCTGTCTCGTTGCGAAGTTAAGCTGCGCAAGCACTCAAGGGTTCCAGCACCAAGTTGTTGAGCAACAGCAGGGTGTCCTTCACAGAAGAACCCTAAACCAAAAATCATGAAGCCCCCATGTTCCTGTCACAAAACTTCCTTTCCTTTCAGTTTTTTGTCGTGGTGTATTCCCCTGGTAGCCCTCTCGGGAACTCTTAACCCTAACCTTTTTGGGGTACACAAGATCAACTAGACCAGTGGTTTTTTGGGTTAACCATGTGAGGTCAATAATCCGATATGCGCCATACCATACTACCTTAAAGGACCCCAAACTATGGGAACTATATTACCTTATTGTGGATAATGCAGGATTTATATCATCAACCGCAGTGGTACCGTCGATCCTTGGCCGACCCTGGTAGTTGCGGATTCCTGAAGCCTTTCTAAGACACAGCTCAGGATCTTGTTCGTTGTCACGACTCATTCTGCGATGATGGTCGGGACATGGCTTCTGGGCTAGCATCGGAACCTGATTAAGAAATCCTGGGTCTTTATGAGGGCTCTTAATATGTTTAGGATTATAGGTGTTTTTGAGGGTCTGAATGTCTTAATGTGAGCCCTAAATGTTGGGGTTACAAGCGCCAGGGTCTCTTAATCAGGTTCCTACATCAAACGAGTCGAAGGGGTCTAAAGGAGCGAAGATCTCCCCAGGGTTTGGGGTTAGGGTCTCGGAGTCTGTTGAGTTCAGAGCTGGAAGTTAGGTTCTACTTCGATAGGGCTTAGACGCTCAGATCTAGAAGGTTCCCGGAAAAGTAGGATTTAGTTTTTATAGGGCTCATGGATGATCCTTAGATCTTAGCAGGCTCCGGCTCAGGCGATCGCAGGCGAAGTCGCATGTTGGCCTGTTTGGGCCTTTAGCCTCGTGTCGGTTCCCCTGAGCCTGCAACCCCGAGGCTGATTCAGTGCGAGTGACCAACGAAAAAGCCCAAAACATCCGTCTTCATATGATAGTTGTACTGCAATATACCACCAAAATCCCCGCCTTACACTCTCCAACAAGCAGAAGCAGCCACGACGCTTAAAGCGCAAAGGTCACCCAGTATCTGGCCATGGTCTACAAAGACTCCGGGCTGCAGGTTTAGAGTAAACGCCCAAAAGTTTAGGAGCCCAGTAGCCTCAGTCCTTAAGAGTGATGTAATATATAGGTATAGGGAATCCCAGCACTATTTGGCCTTAATCCAGTTTTTTCACTTTATGACGCATACTGTAGGTTTACTGTCCATTAACTGACGCCAAAAAGACGATAGCCCAAAGCCCCTCGTACTACACCCGAGTAGATCGAATCCTTAAATCCGAAAAGCCATCGAGCCCCAAGCTAAACCATCCAGGGTTTTCGGGATGAGGACTTCACCTAGCAGCTGAGTGGATACACTTTACACTTTGAGGGATAATATTACCCACAAAAAAACTGAAAGTGTACACTTTTGGGGGTTCAGGCACAGAATAGCCTCGGGGCTTTGCGGGTGTAGCAGGTCAATCAGGTCGAGCGCTCCGAGTTGCAACGATAGGTGCTATAGATGTCCTTTCGGTTTACCTGTGACCAAAAAAAGACCTACCTTTTTCGAGAAAATTATATACGGGAGTTTCGGAAAATTCGGTGTACTTTATTTTGAGGTCCTTACAATAAGGATCCTACTGTTTAGGGTGCTATATCCGGGTCCCCTGTTTTCGGAACCCCCCCCTACGTAAAAACCATAATACGGAACCCCACAAGGGCAGGGTTTTTTCCAGCCACAGGTCGGGTTTAGGCAGCCTCCAACGTCAGAGCCTGCTCCTTGCTTGGAGGCCCAGGGGACTTAGTAAGTAGGTTATAAGTAGGGTTATAATTGGGGTAACTCCATTTAGGGTACTGATAACCCTACTTATACTTACTAAGTCCCCCAGGCCTCCAAGTAGACCCTAAACCCTAAACCCCATAGATCCCCTTCAGGAACCCTATAGATCCCTTTAAGGAGCCCTTTAAGGAACCCTACATACTAAGTCCCCTGGGCCTCTAACTGCCTGACGAGGATACGCCAGCTTCAGAGCTCTTCGATCTTGCGCGCCAGCAAGCCACATGTCTGAATCTTACTATAGGGGTACTAAAAGGATACTACAGTGCTACAGGTCTTACTATAAGGGTACTATAAGGATACTATAGGGTACTACAGAGGGTACTATGGGGGTAGCAGTTGATGTATCTGGTTTATGGCTAGCTTACGACATATAACGATTTGGTGGTTGATTTGTTGCTCAAGACTGTATAAAATCTGAAGCAAGCGGATTCCGCGAAAATCGGATGCTTGCGAGGGGCGACTCTTGGTGTTGCTGGACGGCTTTGATGAAGCTGGACATCTTGAGCGAGCCCCGCATGCATTCATCGGGTCGCACGACATCATCATCGATGGTCCTTGGAAGTGTAAAAGTATGTTCAACCGTAAACTCGGCAAATAATCGGGATGCCCTTTTACTTTGTGGTCTGGGTTGCCGAGAGAGTTTAGTGGGAAGGCTGTCAGCATGATCCTGCCTTTCTTCCGTACTGGCGTGCAGCAAAAGGCAAATCAGGTTGACCCTGAGACAAGAGTTTCTTGTAAACGCCAGTTGGCGGCTTTGCTGAGGAGAGCTGGCGACACAGATTTCGACGATGCTGAACAACGAAGTGTTTCTGATCGCCACCCGGTCTACCGTTTGTTTGAAGGGTCCCGGCATGTCCGGGGTTTGGGGCAGTCCTTTTAAGAAAGATTCTGCTATTTGGTCGATGAGTTCGAAGTCAGAGCTTGCGAGTTTTTGCCACCGATCGGAGATGGGTTTTGAAGAGGCGGTCAATTATTGCAGTTGTTGGAGCCACCATCGTTGCTTTGACGGTTTGCCACTGTGGCTGCCAGAAGTCTTGGCATTTGTGTGCCCTAAACCCTGAACCCTGAACCCTAAACCCTCCGGTTGTGATTGTGTGAATGAATGCCTTAGTATGTGCTCAATGGCCACAAGGTGTTCGGAGACCTCCCGCCGGTGCCCCCAAATTTCAAAAGTTACAAGGGCTTACAGGGTTTAGGGTTGAGGGAGCCATAATCAAGCCTAGCCACAAATCCCACAAAACTCAAGCTCCGACCTGCTGGATTCCCGACCCAAGGATCCATGTGGGTGGTTGTCAAAATTATGGTCCCTTTTTGTTTCCCGAATATAGTACGGCACCTACTATTTAAGGTACCCACAAAGGGACCATAATTTTTGACAACCACCCATATAGACTCAAAGGTCGTAACCTTGAACCCTCAACCTGGGAACATGGCAATCTTAGACATCCAGCTAATATCCTATCAGCCCTTGCTTGCGCAGCCCTACATCCAAAGCCCTACAACCAAACCCTCAACCTTAAACCCAGTGAGTGGGTAAGCCAGTAGCCTTATCTTGGGCCTCAGCGCAAGCGCAAGGTAACCTCCAGAGAAATGAGTGGTGTTCTGTCCGGATCAGACTTCAGCCGATTTCGCACCGTCAGGCCCAGCTCCTTTTCTTGGGGCTCTATTGCGACTTACGCTTTCGGGGCTTACCGTTTGTCTCGGAGTTTTCAACCCTCAAGCCTGCACCCAAAACATCCAAAAACCAGGAGCTCTTAGCTCTTAGGTGGCTAGGCCTTGCAGAGCTTTTGATTTCGATGCAGGGGGATGATGGGAATGTAGTGTGGCTGTAGGGTTGGTGTTGGTTTAGGATTTCCAGCTTTTGATGGGCTACAGGAACCTGTGACGCCGAGATATTTCGGATCCCTGTGGACATCGTTATTCAGAAAGAGGGTGTCCTCATCAGGGGTCTACATCATGGTTCAGCTGGGTCTAGGGCCCAGGGCGAACGGAACTCAGGATCTTACCGCCACTGCAACCTTACTACGATGGGTTCTCAACTTTAACGTAAAGCAATCGTGCCTGCCGGTCACTTGCAGTTGCAGTCCACGGTTTGGGCTCTCAAAGTGATAATTTTGATCCGAAGATCCCAACCCCGCCGCCTCAGCCCACCCAAGCCCGAAACGGCCCCAAACCAAAACCACAGGATACAGAAAACAGCGAAGCGGGTGTGTACCAAAATACGAGCTCAACCCAGCCACGGGCCAGGGTGAAAGAGCTGAACGAGGTGCAGAGGAAGCAGGCCCCCAGCCGGTCAAAGTCCGAATTTTCCTTTGTAAAGAGCTTTGAGACTGACTTGGGGCCTCAGTTTGCATGCCGTTGCTTTTCCTTGGCGGCTGACTCGGAAACCTCTAAACTTTTTGGGCGTATACAAACCTACTATATACAACCAGAAGGGTTAACATTTTTTTGGGCTAGGGCACTCAGCCCCTCAGTGTCTGTTTGAAGAGATTTGGGCACAAGAAGGACCTTGGTGCTTGGGATTTAGGCTTCTGAGTTTACGGCTTGAGGGCTTCGAAAGGCTTCCAAAAAAAACCGCCGGGAGACATGAGGGTAGTTCTAAATTAGGGGCCCCGTTTAAACTGAGATCCTCAAAATGGTACGGCACCCCTACTATAAGAACTCCCAAAGGGACGCTAATTACCCATGGGCATTCGGACATACAGCAAATTGGAGGAACCGCAGATTCAGGTTTCAGGCACCTTTATAGCACCTACTTGGGCCTTATAAGGTCCCGACATAGGGGCCCCATTTGGACCTAAGTAAATATTATATGGGTACCTCAGGGATAGTCGCATCGTGACAGGTCATCGAGCGA